GTATCTAGGTCAGCGTTTTTGATAGCAAGTTTGTGTTTTACAGCATGTGGTTACAGTCTTCATGCTCAATTCTCCTCCTTTACCTTGTTTTGGGACCGGCACTAACTCTAAGAAAACTACATGTAGAGTTATATTGTATCTAGATTGATAGAATCCAATCAACACCAAAAAGGATTAGACAGACATTGAATTGATAATTACACTGTGATCTATCAGTTGAAATGCTACAGATTCTTAAATTATTCCCCAATCTGAGTTTAATCAGCTCAAGTTAATCTCTATAATCCTCTGAACTAATTTTATTTTTAAATTTACTTAGTATTTTCTGTTTGAATCTTCCCATTGATCCGTCTCTCATTGACTGACGAGTCCCAAATAGGACAAAACACGCTTCCTGGATTCCGTTGTTAACGGATATCCATTTTGCATATAATGCTTTTGAATTAAGGCTATATCGAGGCAATACGCACAGTATGCACATATACCAATAAGTGACTGATCAGTTGCAGTCCTAAACATCAGTGAGATGATTCAAGTAAACAATATCAAGTGAATTTAAAACTTCACCTCATTGCACAAGCAAGCGGCTATCAGGACTCAGTAGTTAAGTGGATAACGCGATGGTGTTTAAAGCGAACAGTACTGAGTTTGAGCCCTAGAGTGAACATCAACTATGGGCTTTAGGTACATCCAACTGACGAGTCCCAAATACGACGAAACGCGTGTCAAACTGGATTCTATTGTTAGCTACTATTGATGTTTGCATATGAATTTATTTTTAAGTTTCTAATTTTATTTTGTTTATGTGACAATCAGTATGTCAATAGAGATTGTTCATATACTAATCAAAAGTTCACTGAAATTTCTACTCATCTTTGTCCATACATCAAATACACAAAAGATCAGCTTTTGTTGTTGTTGATTGAACTCATATTCAATGTAAACATTGATAATTGACATTTGAGTAAATCATTTATGATTTGTTTAAATTTTGTATAAATAACACAATATTCACAATGTTGTATGAACAATAGTGAAACTTATACAAGATAATAAGTAAGTATCAGTATTCATTATCATTGAACATATATATATTATGAATAGATCTTGATGGGGTTTTGTTCTCTGAGTTGAATGGTTTGATCTACTTGAAGTTTGTGCTGATGATTCCGTTTCGAAGAACAATGACAACTCCATGACCAAACCATTCAAATCAGAGAATAAAACTCCATAAAAAGTCATCTACCTGAGCTACAAATGTCTACCATGAACAGATCTTTTCCAATGGAATGATCCATATTCTATGAAATTTTAATCTTTATACAAAGATATATGTAGCATTTGTGTTAAAATGTTTATAGATATATATATTGAATAGTTGAGTAGTATTGTGCTATAGGGTGTTCAGTCAAATTGATAAATTTATTAAGAAAAGAGTTGTTGAATGTTACTTGTTAATTTCATGTAAAGCGATAATATTTAACGTTCGATTACTTACTTACTTAGTTAGTTATCTACGCCTGTTACTCCCAGTGGAGCATAGGCCACCATCCAGCATTCTCCAATCCGCTATGTCCTAGGCATTCTTTTCTAGTTCTATCCAATTGTTGTTCATTAATCTTCCTACGTCTATCTCCGTTTCTCGGCGTAATATGTTCTTTGGTCTTCCGCTTTTCCTTTGGCCTTGAGGATTTTAAGTGAGGAGTTGCCTTGTGACACAGTTGGGTGTTTTCTTCAATGTGTGTCCTATCCACTTGCAGCGCTTCTTTTTGATTTCTTCATCCGCTGGGATCTGGTTTGTTCTCTCCCACAGTAGGTTATTGCGAACAGTGTCTGACCAACGGATCCGTAGTGTTGTGCGTAGACAACCGTTAATAATCACTTGTATCTACTGGATGATGGCTTACGCAGTTCTTCAAGTTTCTGCTGCATACAGTAGAACTGTGATGACATTTGTATTGAAAGTTGTGACTTCGTTGTTGGTTGACAGTTGTTTTGATTTCCAGATATCCTTCAGTTGTAGATATGTTGCTCTTGCCATAAAATGTGCTTGACTTAAATTTCATTCTAGTTAGTCTTTAGAATATACGGAAATGGATGAGTTTAATTATGTTCCAACTTTAGTTACTAAGTTTTACAAGTGTGAGTTATTACTTGTAAGTTGTTCAGTATGAGACTCATCTTTTGTATGTAAGAGATTATTCATTACATAATGATTGTTTAATAACAAATCCCATCATTACCCATCACTAGATACTAATTGAATTCTATAAATGGAATCATTATGTGATGCAAAGGTTAAATCACCCATTATTACATAGATTATGTTTATGATTATGGAGTTGTGGAGATTATTGAGTTTTTGATTGAGATCATGAGCCGATTGATGTTAGACCACCGCTTATAACCTGGAAACACTGAACGGCCATTTCGTCCTAGTGTGGGACTCCCTAGAATTGCACATCCACAATCCCATCCCGCGAGATTCCAATCGAAGACCTATGAGTCTCGTACGCGAACGCTTAACCTCTAGACCACTGAGCCGGTCGGCATCCAACGGTGTTAATGTGTAACTTCAACTAATTCACAAAATTGAGCCAATGTTCAATATTGTCACCAGTGAGTTACTATCTCACAACATATACTGTTGAACTCCACTCTTCATTGCTTCTCACTAGAACTCTAGGAAATATCTCTTGAAGCCAGTAACTAGGAAGAAAACGGTCGTCCAGTGCTTTCAGGTTTTCCATGATGGTTTAGCTTCAATGGATATAATTATGACTTACATAATGATCAATATCAACTATGTCACTTTGTTAATGAGATGAATGTGAATATCATAAGTTGTTTTTTTTTACGTTAATAATTATACTATCTGTAGATTTGTCTCTATTGTTAAAGATTTAGATTTTAACTCAGTAAATTTGAGTAATGAAATATCTGTTCATAAGTATGAATATCAGAAGGGGGTTTTTTGTGGATATTATAATTATTTTAAATACTTAAGATCATTAGTAGTCAGTTGAACGTAGATCACCATGGAAAACCTGAAAGCATTGGATTAGTTGATCCCCACTCCTCCCCCCCAAAGAAAACAACAAACAAACAAACAAACAAACAAATAGAATCTGTATTCATTGACTATTAAGATTCACTTTGTTTCATATGTTTGAATTACATAAAATTTATTGTTGAATACTGTAATGTATTCATTAAATAATTGAATCAATTCCCATCATCCCCGTTTTGTATATTTGATATCAGAAAAGTTACTTAGACTGTTACTACTTACACCTAATATTAGTTTCTATATATATATATATATGCTGTTGTTATACAAGATACAATGACTCCAAAAGGTGTCAACATTTATATTGTGATTTTTTTTAAATTTATCAAGAATATCTTGTTACTGGTCTTTTGTTTTTGGTGTAATATTGTTATAATATGTCAGTTTGTTGAATAAGTCTTAATAGAAGTACGACTGATTATGGTGTATGCTACTGATATCATCAGACCTAAGTAGTATAGTAGTGGATAAGAACACAAGTAAGGATACTTAAAGAAACAACTTAATAAAATAATTTGAGAAACATATAGTAAATAGTTAATTTGCAAAATATTAATCCATTGTCATAAACACTTTACTGTTTCATTGGCAACTATCAGCCTATCGTCTCAGATTTCATTAGTCCTGAATTTTTATACTAATTACTTTCCGTTTTCATTCTTTCCTTCTCGATATTCCACTGAAATACATTCTATTTGTGGCTATCGTTATATACTACTTATATGAATATAAGTAGTTCACAATAGAGTATATATGACCAATTGAAAGTGAAATGTCTGACGACAGAAATTAAAGAAAATCGAACAGAAGAGAATGAAAATATATATTGATTAGTATAGAAACGAAGAAACAACAAATTTTGAGATACTTGATAGATATTTTATAAATGAAGTATTTACTATATAGTTACCAAAATATTCTATAATTGATAATAATACAATTATTCCCACGTTTATTCTCATTCACTACAAAGTTATTATTTCTATGGTATATGGAAAAGAAATATTTATGCAAATATATTTATGACTGAATTCGTCGTTCATAGACCTTTCATAACAAATTTATGAGCTATAACAATAATAATAATAATAATAATAATAATAATAATAATAATTATAATAATAGTAACAGCAGTGGAATATGGTCATGCGATGTCAGAAATTAATTGAAGCTAAATTATATGCGTCATTATACTCCGCCTCAGTAGCAGTAGTAGTAGTAGTAGTACTCGTAATCGTAGTCGTAGTAGTAATAGCCACAGTTCAAAGAAGTATTCAAAACAGTTCTAATAAACAGTCAAATTAGTTAAACAAGATTAGATGGTGGTTAGAGGTAGTCAACAGGAAACCCTGGACCCGGGTTTTGTGCTACTTGTCATTCGTCAACAAGGTGTATCTGTAATCTTGAGGGAACTGATGCTCCCTGGTGGATTACGATCCCATGTCACACAAACTTCACAGTCACAGACGTTACCATCCAGTGATCAATCAGTTGTGATAGTTAAACTAGATTAACTATATCAAATATGATATAATAACCAATTATAAACAATCAAAAAAGATGATCAACCTATCATCATTAATTCTAACATTGAAAGCTTCCATAAATAATAGAAGATTTTAAGTTGCTATTTTAAAAACTTGTAAATTATCTAAACTATAAAGTAAAGTATAATGATATCAGATCTATAAATAACATTTAAGATTGAACTAAAAGTGATTCATTATATAGAATTTGATTATTATTACTATCTGATTAATCTATTATAACATGAACACCTTTTCACTTCTATATATGTATATATATATATATATATCTTTTCTGTAGTTCAATAGAAAAGAGACAAACAACTATACATAATATCGAAGAGAAGAAAATGAATCTCTTTAACATAGTTCTATTACTCATAATACAATGTTATTTATTCGAAATGACACCGTATCGATACCATAATCAGAAACAAATAAAAATGATCAACAAAAGAGAATTAAATGGTGAGCATTTAACTAATAATCTAAAAATGTTAAAATAAAAAAAACATTGAAAAGAAAATAAAAAAAACAGACAATAAAACTAGAAAAATCACTCAAAAGAATCCGAGACATTAACCATTTCAATATAAATAAGGATAAAACACGTCAACTCTATTCACAACAACGTCGGTCGTCACACAATAATGCCGATTACTGCTCGGTCGGTCGGTCGGTCGGTCAGTCGGTCCGACGGTCAGTCATTAAGTCTCTCTGTATATCGCTCTGTCTGCCTGTCTATCCGCCTCACTCTCTTTCTGTCTCTTCGTCTGTTCGTCCACCGTCTGTGTTTCCACCTGACAAACTGTCTGACACACATTGTCTCTCTCTGCACATTCACACTTCACAATTTCACAATCACACAACGTTCATTTATCACTCGACACGCACAAGTCAATCTCATTTGATTATTTTCATTGTCGAGTGGAATATTCATGTGTGCATTGACCACTTGACTCACGGTTTTCAATCAATCACCTTGTAGATGACAATGAAGATAAAGACAATGAAGAAGTAACCAAGGAACCTGATAACGATAGTAAGTATCACATAAATCATTTGCATCAATGTATACTGATATTGATTTGACTATCTGACACACGTGTGAACCATCAGTCCGGTACAACTAAACACAAACACTCTATTTCTCGAACACACTCACACTCACTCACTCACTCACTCACACACTCAATCACTCACACACACATATATATACACACACAACACAAGTGCACACGCACACATTGCGAAACACAATCACTCACATTCACTGACTCGCTCAATAGATTACTCAATTATTAACACAATTACTCACTCAACCACTTCATATCACCTCTATTCTCCACATACACACCCATCAAACATCACACATTAAACACATTTCACTATCAAATCAATCATCAATTCAATCACATCCCTCCACATATAACACATTCCCTCTCCAACTAAACATATAGCCATATATATGCATGTATATATATAAATACACACAAAGATATATACATATAAACATATTAACATTTAGATCTACAAGAATCCACCACATTCCCTCTTCTCACACCACCATCGCTCACAGTCGCCTTCTCCATTCACAACAACGTCGGTCGTCACACAATAATGCCGATTACTGCTCGGTCGGTCGGTCGGTCGGTCGGTCGGTCGGTCAGTCGGTCCGACGGTCAGTCATTAAGTCTCTCTGTATATCGCTCTGTCTGCCTGTCTATCCGCCTCACTCTCTTTCTGTCTCTTCGTCTGTTCGTCCACCGTCTGTGTTTCCACCTGACAAACTGTCTGACACACATTGTCTCTCTCTGCACATTCACACTTCACAATTTCACAATCACACAACGTTCATTTATCACTCGACACGCACAAGTCAATCTCATTTGATTATTTTCATTGTCGAGTGGAATATTCATGTGTGCATTGACCACTTGACTCACGGTTTTCAATCAATCACCTTGTAGATGACAATGAAGATAAAGACAATGAAGAAGTAACCAAGGAACCTGATAACGATAGTAAGTATCACATAAATCATTTGCATCAATGTATACTGATATTGATTTGACTATCTGACACACGTGTGAACCATCAGTCCGGTACAACTAAACACAAACACTCTATTTCTCGAACACACTCTCACTCACTCACACACTCACTCACACTCACTCACCAATCAATCACTCACACACACATATATATACACACACAACACAAGTGCACACGCACACATTGCGAAACATAATCACTCACATTCACTGACTCGCTCAATAGATTACTCAATTATTAACACAATTACTCACTCAACCACTTCATATCACCTCTATTCTCCACATACACACCCATCAAACATCACACATTAAACACATTTCACTATCAAATCAATCATCAATTCAATCACATCCCTCCACATATAACACATTCCCTCTCCAACTAAACATATAGCCATATATATGCATATATATATTTAAATATATACATAGATATCTACATATAAACATATTAACATTTAGATCTACAAGAATCCACCACATTCCCTCTTCTCACACCACCATCGCTCACAGTCGCCTTCTCCATTCACAACAACGTCGGTCGTCACACAATTTTGCCGATTACTGCACTGTCGGTCGGTCGGTCGGTCGGTCAGTCGGTCAGTCGGTCCGACGGTCGGTTATTCAGTCTCTCTGTATATCGCTCTGTCTGCCTGTCTATCCGCCTCACTCTCTTTCTGTCTCTTCGTCTGTTCGTCCACCGTCTGTGTTTCCACCTGACAAACTGTCTGACACACATTGTCTCTCTCTGCACATTCACACTTCACAATTTCACAATCACACAACGTTCATTTATCACTCGACACGCACAAGTCAATCTCATTTGATTATTTTCATTGTCGAGTGGAATATTCATGTGTGCATTGACCACTTGACTCACGGTTTTCAATCAATCACCTTGTAGATGACAATGAAGATAAAGACAATGAAGAAGTAACCAAGGAACCTGATAACGATAGTAAGTATCACATAAATCATTTGCATCAATGTATACTGATATTGATTTGACTATCTGACACACGTGTGAACCATCAGTCCGGTACAACTAAACACAAACACTCTATTTCTCGAACACACTCCTCACTCACTCACTCACTCACTCACTCACTCACTCAATCACTCACACACACATATATATACACACACAACACAAGTGCACACGCACACATTGCGAAACACAATCACTCACATTCACTGACTCGCTCAATAGATTACTCAATTATTAACACAATTACTCACTCAACCACTTCATATCACCTCTATTCTCCACATACACACCCATCAAACATCACACATTAAACACATTTCACTATCAAATCAATCATCAATTCAATCACATCCCTCCACATATAACACATTCCCTCTCCAACTAAACATATAGCCATATATATGCATGTATATATATAAATACACACAAAGATATATACATATAAACATATTAACATTTAGATCTACAAGAATCCACCACATTCCCTCTTCTCACACCACCATCGCTCACAGTCGCCTTCTCCATTCACAACAACGTCGGTCGTCACACAATAATGCCGATTACTGCTCGGTCGGTCGGTCGGTCGGTCGGTCGGTCAGTCGGTCCGACGGTCAGTCATTAAGTCTCTCTGTATATCGCTCTGTCTGCCTGTCTATCCGCCTCACTCTCTTTCTGTCTCTTCGTCTGTTCGTCCACCGTCTGTGTTTCCACCTGACAAACTGTCTGACACACATTGTCTCTCTCTGCACATTCACACTTCACAATTTCACAATCACACAACGTTCATTTATCACTCGACACGCACAAGTCAATCTCATTTGATTATTTTCATTGTCGAGTGGAATATTCATGTGTGCATTGACCACTTGACTCACGGTTTTCAATCAATCACCTTGTAGATGACAATGAAGATAAAGACAATGAAGAAGTAACCAAGGAACCTGATAACGATAGTAAGTATCACATAAATCATTTGCATCAATGTATACTGATATTGATTTGACTATCTGACACACGTGTGAACCATCAGTCCGGTACAACTAAACACAAACACTCTATTTCTCGAAAACACTCTCACTCACTCACTCACTCACTCACTCACTCACTCACTCACTCACTCAATCACTCACACACACATATATATACACACACAACACAAGTGCACGCGCACACATTGCGAAACACAATCACTCACATTCACTGACTCGCTCAATAGATTACTCAATTATTAACACAATTACTCACTCAACCACTTCATATCACCTCTATTCTCCACATACACACCCATCAAACATCACACATTAAACACATTTCACTATCAAATCAATCATCAATTCAATCACATCCCTCCACATATAACACATTCCCTCTCCAACTAAACATATAGCCATATATATGCATGTATATATATAAATACACACAAAGATATATACATATAAACATATTAACATTTAGATCTACAAGAATCCACCACATTCCCTCTTCTCACACCACCATCGCTCACAGTCGCCTTCTCCATTCACAACAACGTCGGTCGTCACACAATAATGCCGATTACTGCTCGGTCGGTCGGTCGGTCGGTCGGTCGGTCGGTCAGTCGGTCCGACGGTCAGTCATTAAGTCTCTCTGTATATCGCTCTGTCTGCCTGTCTATCCGCCTCACTCTCTTTCTGTCTCTTCGTCTGTTCGTCCACCGTCTGTGTTTCCACCTGACAAACTGTCTGACACACATTGTCTCTCTCTGCACATTCACACTTCACAATTTCACAATCACACAACGTTCATTTATCACTCGACACGCACAAGTCAATCTCATTTGATTATTTTCATTGTCGAGTGGAATATTCATGTGTGCATTGACCACTTGACTCACGGTTTTCAATCAATCACCTTGTAGATGACAATGAAGATAAAGACAATGAAGAAGTAACCAAGGAACCTGATAACGATAGTAAGTATCACATAAATCATTTGCATCAATGTATACTGATATTGATTTGACTATCTGACACACGTGTGAACCATCAGTCCGGTACAACTAAACACAAACACTCTATTTCTCGAACACACTCTCACTCACTCACTCACTCACTCACTCACTCACACACTCAATCACTCACACACACATATATATACACACACAACACAAGTGCACACGCACACATTGCGAAACACAATCACTCACATTCACTGACTCGCTCAATAGATTACTCAATTATTAACACAATTACTCACTCAACCACTTCATATCACCTCTATTCTCCACATACACACCCATCAAACATCACACATTAAACACATTTCACTATCAAATCAATCATCAATTCAATCACATCCCTCCACATATAACACATTCCCTCTCCAACTAAACATATAGCCATATATATGCATGTATATATATAAATACACACAAAGATATATAC